CTCAGGGATGATGTTCCCAGCTCCAAACATCCAGCTCCCAGCTCAGGGATGATGTTCCCAGCTCCAAACATCCAGCTCCGAGCTCAGGCTGCCCGGCACTTCAGGAACTGTGGCACTGAGTTCAGAGGCTGGGAGGTGCCACGGGCTGACATCGGGGCACAACTCTGCACTCGGGGTGTCTCTCTGGGGTGTTTCTGCTTTGGGCCAGCATTCCTTTGTCCAAGGATCACACTGTGCAGCCCACCATGTCTTTGCCCCTCTTGATGAAGGAGCAGAAAAGGAAGGAAGGAAAAGGCAGGAAAAGAAAGGGCTGGAGCCCCTCTGCTCTGGAGCCAGGCTCCAGAGAGCTGGGGGTGTTCAGCCTGGAGAAGGGAAGGCTCCAGGGAGACTTCAGAGCCTCTTCCAGTGCCTAAAGGGTCTCCAAGAGAGAAGTGTCAGGGATGGCCACAGCCCTCAGAGGTGCAGTTGGGTGTAAGTCACATTGCAGACACTTCCCAGTGTTGGCACTGTGGCAGGATTCATCCCTGTATTTGTGGTTTGTGCAAGGAGCTCTTGGAGAATCAGTCACTGATCTGAGCAGGGTGAGGAATGGTGTGATTTCACCTCCCTGGAGGAACACACAGTCCCACCCCAGACACAGCTCTGTGCGCTCACAGATGCAGCCACCGATCGTGACAAGGCTGACGGTGACTTTTATGACTATTTTTATGACTTTTGCAATCTTTGTGGGACAGTGGATAAAGCTGAGCTAGGAAAGGGCCTGACCTGGTTTGTGGTGGTGATGGAGGCACAGAGATGTTTTCCTTACAGACACAGTTTGTAGCACTGATAGAACAAACAAGGTGCTTCGTACAGCAAAGCACAGTGGGGGAACCCCTCAGGGTGGAAGGCAGGTGCCTTGTGGCCTGATTTGTAACATCAGTAGGGGGTTGTGGTCAAATCCAGGCTCAGCAGGCACTGTTTATCCCATCCCTTTCCTGCGCAGAGCCGAGCCAGGCTGACCCCGAGGACGGAAGCGCCATGTACGAGCTCAACGACAGCAGCTTCGACCCCATCACCTTCGTCCTGACAGGCATCCCAGGCATGGAGGAGTCCCACATCTGGATCTCCGTCCCCTTCTGCCTCATGTACCTCACTGCAGTGTTCAGCAACTCAGTCCTTCTCTTCGTCATCAGCACGGACCGGAGCCTCCACGAGCCCATGTACCTGTTCCTGGCCATGCTGGCCGTCTCTGATCTCATGCTGTCCACCACCACGGTGCCCAAAATGCTGGCCATCTTCTGGTTCAGCGCCAGGGAGATTTCCTTTGATGCCTGCATCACACAGATGTTCTTCACCCATTTCAGCTTCATCGTGGAGTCCTCTGTGCTGCTGGCCATGGCCTTCGACCGCTACGTGGCCGTGTGTGACCCGCTGCGCTACTCGTCCGTCCTGACGCCCTCGGTGATCGGGAAGATCGCCCTCACCGCCGTCGTCCGGGGCTTCTGCATCATGTTCCCGCCCATCTTCCTGCTGAAGCGGCTGCCCTACTGCGGGCACAACGTGATGCCCCACACCTACTGCGAGCACATGGGCATCGCCCGCCTGGCCTGCGCCGACATCAGAGCCAACGTGTGGTACGGGCTGACCACGGCGCTGCTCTCCTCGGGGCTGGACGTCGTGCTCATCGCCGTGTCCTACGTGCTCATCCTCCGGGCCGTGTTCCGGCTCCCGTCCCCGGAGGCGCGGCTCAAAACCCTGAGCACCTGCGGCTCCCACCTCTGCGTGATCCTCATGTTCTACGTGCCCGCCTTCTTCTCCTTTCTCACGCATCGCTTCGGCCACCACATCCCCAGCCGTGTCCACATCCTCCTGGCCAACCTCTACGTCGTGGTCCCGCCCATGCTCAACCCCATTGTCTATGGGGTGAAGACCAGGCAGATCCGGGAGCGTGTCCTCCGCCTCCTCTGCCCCGCAGGGGAGTGTCCCTGCCCCGGCTGCGGGGGCAGGTGCTGAGCAGGGGAAGGGGGACACGGGACGGGGTTTGGAAAGCAGCACCAAGAGCTGCAGCACTTCTCACCCAAGGTTTGCCCAAGGGGTTCGGGACAAGTTGAGGGTGGTGGGATTTCTGGGGCTTGGGTCATCAGCACTTTCACTGCTGTTTGTTTCTCCTGGAGCCGCTTCCCATGGATGCTCCATCGTCAGAGACCGGCAGGTTCAGCTGAGGAGCATCGAGGCTCCTGCACCTCCTGACTCGCTGTCACCTGCTGCTGTTGGTTGTGTTTGCTGTCCTACAGACTCGTTTCTGCCTGTTCCTTCACCTGTTCTCTCGGTGCCCAGACTCTGAACACCTTGTCAGTCACCAGACCAGAGCCTGGCACATCAACCATGGCTGGATGGGCAACTCACTGCTCACCACAGCACAGAGGATGGCTGGCCTGGCCTGCCTTCGGTGCTGAGGGACCCCAGCACCTCTTGCTGCTGAAGGTGTTTGTTTCCCTGCTGAAGGTGTTTCCCTGCTGAAGAACTGTGGGAGGTCAGGAAAGGCTTTGTTGTCCCATGTTTGAGGGAAACAATCCCCTAAACCATGACTGCCGAACTGAACTCAAACGTCTGGAGTGGCTGGTGACCCCAGGGTGTCAGGGAATGGCTCTCCCTGGATATGGGCTCCACAGAATGTTGTGCCCTGCGTCAGGATAGGAGCTGGTGGATCAAACTCAATCTCCCTGAGGGAGAGCAGGAGCCACAGGTGCTCTGCTCTCTGGGACCAGGGGTCTTCACACCTGAGTGACGCAGGAGGTGACTGACACAGAAACCAATCCCTGCTCCGCTCCAGCCATCCCAGTAACAACTTCAAAAAAAGGGAAAGAGAGAGATTTATGATTTCAGATCAGAACCCCCAAACGTTCTTAACACGCTCAATGTGTTTCTTCTGGTTTTTTTATTTTCTTCTGATTTGATCAAAGGAGGCACCCTGTGATGGGCACAGGGGAAATGAAAGTCTGTTCATTAAAGGCTGTTTTTCTCCCAGTGGAGATAACAGAGCCGGGTACAAAAGCTGCTCGTGTCGCTGGGTTTTTTTAATGTCCTCAGAACATTTGTGTTTGTACTGGCTTCCTTAGCAAAAGAAAGAGTATTTGCTCAGAACAGCCATGTGGTTTCTAATAGGAGAGGGAGCTGTGAGAAGGAAAATGCGTCAGGAGAGTGCGTTGCTGTTGGTAGCTCTGAGAACAGCTGAGCTGCCATTTGAGTTGGTCAATACATGGGGTTTGGAGCAACCTGGGCTGGTGGAAGGTGTCCCTGCCCATGGCAGGGGGTGGAACAGAATGAGCTTTAAGGTCCCTTCCCTCCCAAACCATTCTGGGATTCCATGACTCTGTGGTTCTATGGATCTGTCTGCTCCTTGGGGTTTCCCATAATGGTTTTATACCCTGGGGGAGGCAGTTTTAAACTCGCTGCTCTGCTCCTTGGGTGGACATGATGGCTGGGTCAGGAGCAAACTGCCCAGGGACATGTCCCAGAGTCAATGAATCACCAGCTGGGCCATTCCTGGCCAGGGGCCCATGCCTAATGGGGCATTAGCCAGCTGAGCAGGGAGATTTATATTTCAGTGTGGTTAAAATGTCAGCTTAATAACCCACACGTGGTGGGAAACTGCAACTCCTGCACTTCCTACTTTTTCTCCAGCTCTGGAAACACCTATTCTTTATTAGCTCAGTTGATGGGTTTTGTGTCTTCGGAGTGCAAGAACCCTTTTCTGAGGGGGAGGAAGGGAAGGAGGAAGGTTCTGTGCCCATGGAAGGGTGTTGGAACAAGATGAGCTTTAAGGTCCCTCCCAACCCCAACCATTCTACGTTCTTCCATGATTCTATAATTTCAACTGGTGTTTTGTGAAAAGTAAATGAAATCTCAAAAACCTTTGGGAGATAAGTGGAAGTTGCTGAGAATCCTCTGCCCTCAGTGAATGTCTTTGCACACAGAGGAGCTGAGTCTGTGCCTGGAGTGGGGATGGAGCCTCGGGCTCGTGCTGAGTCGAGCTCTCAGCGTGTGTTTGAAAGGAAAACTCTCTCCAGTGTGTGATTGCTTTGCTGCATGGCCAGGGACAGGCTTGGCTTTCATCACGGACAAAGCCTCGAGTGTGCAGGGTTCAAGTACCCCATTTCCACTGGGGTTTATTGCTGTCCATGGACAGTGGTGCTTTGTTAACTGTCCTTCCTCTGCAGAGCTCTGGGGACGATGAATTAGAGCAGAGAAGCTTCATGGTTTTAATTCCTCTCACTTCTCTCGTCGTAATGTCTTGGCAGGTGGCAGGAGAGTGGCTCTGTGAAGGACGGGCAGGGGACAGGAGGAGGGGGTCACCCTCTGTGTCAGTGGCCAGCTGGATGTGTGGAGCTCACCTGGGGTGGGTGAGGAGCCCACCCAGTCAGGATGCCCCGTCCCTGGAAGTGTCCCAGGCCAGGCTGGACGGGGCTCGGAGCAACCTGGGCTAGTGGAAGGTGTCCCTGCCCAGGGCAGGGGGTGGAATGACATGATTCTATGAAGTGCTAATTTAATAAAATCCCCACCACACACAGACATGGAGATAATAAACAGCACAGCACCTCCCTGAACTGTCCTGTCTGAAGCGAGGTGGTAACTCAGCATTCAGGGGGAGGTTTTGCTTGACTGATTTGCTCTCAGGAATTAGAGGTTCCTGCTGGTCCCCAAAGGTCCCTGACAGCTCCCTCAAGGGTCGTGGCAGCCAGGAAGGTGCTGACTGCAGGTCCCCTGCCCTCACTGCACAGCCTGCTCAGCGTCTCTGCAGGTTTCTAGGGGAGAAACAGTAATCCAATAAAATCAGAAATGAGGACAAAATCAACTGAGAGGTTTGTAGCAGGAATACCTGCTGATCTTTAGCTCAGAGCTCCCAGATTCCTCTCCATCGTGGTTCCCCAAAAAGCTAAAACAGTTTCTGGTTCCAAAACACTTTGAGTCTGGGGCAAGGACAGGGGTAAAGTTCACAGCTGGTGTACAGGTCCCTGCCTACCCAGGCTGGTCCAGGCACAGCCCTGGGAACCACTTTGGGATCCAGGACCAGGGAATGAATTGTGCAGGGCTGACTGTGGTGGGGGGTGATGAGTGATGGAGTGGTGAGAACTCCCTGAGACTCCTTCAGGGACAGCCTGAAGGTCTGCAGGGCTTGACAGTCCCCACCCAATTAGTGCAGTGGTAGGAAATGCCCAGGGAGAGGAACCAGCAATGTCCCTGGTGCCCTTCACCACCTGTGCCAGCACAACCACAGCCCTACAGTGCCCCAGGGCCACCAGACGGGCCTTAAACACCAGGCTGGGGCTGTCCCAGGGCTGGCACAGGAGGTGACACCCAGGAGGTGACACCCAGGAGGTGACACCCAGGAGGTGGGTGATGGCACAGGAGGTGGGTGATGGCACAGGAGGTGGGTGATGGCACAGGAGGTGGTGACACAAGGAGGTGGGTGACACCCAGGGCTGGGTCACAGCACTGCTGTTTCAGCTGGGTGTGGTGAGACAGAGGTGGATTAGAGAGGTGGGATGGGCTGGGGTCCCCACAGGGTTTATTGAGTGACACAGCCAGAGGCATGTGACCATTTTATTGAGTGACACAGCCAGAGGCATGTGACCATTTTATGGAGTGACACTGCCAGAGGCACGTGGCCATCCCCTGGCAGCAGTTCCAGCTGGGTGAGCCCAAACTCCAGGCATGAACTGGTCCAGGAGGGCACTGTTGTGTTTCACAAGGGGGTGGAAGCAGCACCCTGCCCCTGCTCAGTTCCTCCAGACCTGGTGGATGTGAAGGGATTTCCCTTGGAGAAGGATGGGTTTGTGTTCCTCTAACACTTGGAGAGGACTGTGAGGGAGCCAGTGCAGAATGTGCTGTAAATTTTCCATATTCCCTAAGTCCCCAGTGCCTGGATGCTCAGAGAATTTCATTATTTATTTTGCACAGGCACCACAGCTCCTGGTGATCCAGCAGCAGCCTGGAGCCCTCCTCTGTGCTCCAGAGACAGAATGCACACAGTGGCAGCTCCTGACACACCTGGTCACTCCTCCTGGGACCCAAAATTCCCCTTTGCACCCTGGATATTGTGACAATGCCCTGCTGCTGAGGGCTTTTAACTTGTCTCTGCATATCTGGAGTGAATCTACTGAAGC